TATTTGGACAAGGCTTAATTGATTTTCAAAAGACACGACCAAATACACAAGGACTATCAAATTACACAATATGTACACAAGCTAATGAGGACACGTTTCTCACTGAGTTTTTAACAAAAATCTCCTCCAACAACCTTTATTCATGTGAGACAACATACAAAAATCGATTCGATATCAAGTTGCAGTCATGTCTTGCCACGTATGGATACAACTAAAGACAAACATTTTTTGCCAATACTAAACAAACTTTCAATAATATACCTTGCACTTTTTTTCAGTTTTTTTCGATTTTCTCTCAACTTCTTTTCAATTTTCTTTCTTGGGTTGTTTTTCTTTTTCAAACGGTAATATATGATGATGTCAACTGCAGCTTAATACGTGAACATTAACAGAATAAGGGAAATGGATATAAAAAATAATTTTAAGAAACAATTTGGAAGGGTTTTATGTATTTTTCCTGATTCTGTTTTACTTTTCGAAATGCCGTTTTGGGTCGATTTCTCAGATATTCGGCAATTCTTGATTGAATTGCAACTAGAAGACGATTTTGTTTTAACCATGGGTGGTTATTTAAACAGTTTGCATCTAACTGAAAAACAGTTTCTCCAGCATCATAGAATGATAAATCTGTCAATGTTAAATTGTTACCAGCGAAATATTGACCGCCAATAACATATATTCTAGCTAAACTTTCAAGGTTTCGTAAATGTTTTGATAAATCATCATTAAAGAATTTTTGCAACCGTTCTTTTTTTCCTTTTCATCTTGTTCGCGATGAATTAGATTAGCTATCGATACTAAATCATTAGTTGTGTCAGCAACAACTTCGACTTTGGCAAAAATAAAAGTGAAGCGCATTGGCGTGAATATTATGTTGATTTGACATTCACTTCGTTAATATGTATATCTCAAGTATTACAAAAATAGCCATTCTTTTCTAAAAGTTTTCATTTGATTTTATTATAATGGCCAATGCGCGAACGCAAAATGATCGCGAAATAAATTCTCCACTTGAGTAAGCCCTATGTGGACTTACTCACAAGCGTCAACGAGAGCGATGTGCAATGCTTATGTCTCAATCTGGAGCATTCACCACTCTGATCATAAATGCATCCGTAGCAGGTAAGTATCCTTTTTAATTCATTGTTTTTTTAATCTTATATACTAACACAAAAAGCACAAATTGCACACTAAACTAATGAAACCAATAGAAAGAAAAAGAACAAGTTATGTTTCGCCATTAACACAATTGTTGTTTACCATACTTTTATTTTTATCAAAATTTCGAAATAAAATTTTGTATAATGACATGAATCCTTTAAAAAACCAAATACTTTTGATTATAGTAACAAATTATCACTTACTGTTTGCTCTATAAGAATAAATAATAAATAGAACTAAGAGATAAATCATGTAGAGTTAAGAAAAATAATTTGTTGTTTTCATTCCTTTTTTTCTGCCGATAGTTTATTTATAAAATGAGTTGTTAAAAGTACGATAAAGATCAAATATATCTGTATGACTTTATTGAACTATATAAAAATGTCATGTATTTTTTTAAAACTCCTGATAACTTTTATGGCATTAAAAGAAAGAGAAAAAATAATCGTTATAAAACATTAATTTCTTATTTCTAAGTGTTTGAGTAATCACAGCGAGTCTGGTAAATATTAAATGAATGAAATTCGATGGATTGGCTTCCATATTTTTTCTTTATATTGCGTTACTACCTTTTGCATATTCTAATATATATATATATAGACGAGAAAAAAAGAAAAAAGTACAACAACGAAGAAAACATTAACAAAAGAATACATTGAAAGAGCAATCATTAGCAGACAAGTGAAGTATTTTTATTTTTACTATCATCACATATATAAAGACAGTTTCTTCAAGCTTCCTGTACAGTATAAAAGTGATAATGTCATTACTTCTATAATGTCCTAAAAATGAAAAAATCTTTTATTAATTTCTTATACAAAAGTATATTATTTTATTGTTTTCCTTAATGCAGCTATCGTATCAGAGAGGAATAAAGAAACTTTAATTTTTAATTAAGTCGTTCTGATAGTTGTCGTGCATTTATGAAAATGTTTGAAAAATTTAATTTACTTTACATTTGCTTACTTTTTTTTTGTTTTTTCTCCTTCTTTTGTAACTCCTCAAATAAATCGATCATAACGACGATCGTAAACAACTGTATATAGTGACATTTATGAGAGTGGAAACGGTTATGAACGATATTTAAGTCTTTATTAATTATTATTTCTACTTTAGATTTATTTCATTTTCTTTTTGAGAAGTACATTGGAATGTTTATTCGACTTCAGTTATTCTCATTCTTCATATGCTTCTCGTCTGCTGTCATCTTTTTTCCAGATACAAGTGATTATGATGCATATGGATTGAAAATAGCTGCTAATAATTTGATGATTGTTGAAGCACAAAATGATTATACTGAATTTCTTATTCAATTCGCACCCTATACTGATAATATTACAGAGGCCAATGATCGAAGTTGTTCAATTGAATATAATGATGATTCACAATTTGTCTATGCTGTTGCTCTCGGTAAAAATCAATCGACTTACAATATTTTCTTTTTTGGTGAAATGATTGGTCTCGACAAACAAAATGCATTAACGAATCGTACATTTGTTGGTATTCTTAGCTATACAGGATCTCTTAATTCAATTGATTGTGATAATGATTTTACTTTTACTATACAATTTATTCCAGGAGCCTTTGCTCATCAAGAACATATAGTGATGGTAACTGATTTAATTGGTTCGATCGCTTATTGTTTCTCTGATCTCTTTACATTTTCATATACAGCAGCTACAAACAATTTAGTTGTTAATCAAAATAATTCACTCTCGCCTTCAACATCATTTTTACCTTTTGCTGTGGATTATGATGGTAGTCTTGGTATTATTGCTGGTTTTCTTGATAATGGTCGAAATTCACGTATGTAGACAAAATGAATAAATTATTCTTAGTTTTTTTTTGTATTTTAATAGGTGTTAGATATCGTGCAGCTATTACTCTGTTCAGTATTAGTGCGTCAACAGCTATTGCAACACCGATCAGTTCATGGAATTATTCAGCAAGTTTAGCATCATGGCAAGCTGGTCTAACAAATGTAGGAGCTGATCAGTATGCAGCTAAATTCGATATGTCTGTTAGTATAAATCCAATAACAACACAAGTTCTTGTTGGTATACAGTCAATCAATACAGTTTTCTTATTCAGTTATACAACAACAACATTAACATTGATCAGTTCAATGAGTCCTGGCCAAGCAATTGGCTTTGGTAAAGGTGTTGCTTGGCTTAGTTATACTCT